GATCAGAAATATGATTGACTGCATGATTAACTGATTGAAGTTGCTGCTGACTGAGCCTGGTTTGAGGTGGTTCTACAATTACACTAGGGACCTGCTCAGCATCAGTGGTTGGTAGTGGCCAAAGGCCATGATGTTGCAGAAGTTCTTCAAGAGTCTCTGGTGCGTTGGAATTTTCACCAAACACGTTGTTAGTTGCTGTGCTGTTGGCACCCATGTTTGCCAACATCCGTTCAGTCCAGATTTGTGTTGGCGTTTTGTTGTTTTCTGTACGCAGGGAATGGTGGTTCCATGCTTTCCTGAATTGTTCTAGTCGGCTTTGAATCTCAGGAAGAAAAACTATGTGAAGAGAAAGTTTGTGCATATCGTCGCTGGGATCCAAGAGGGCTGAATCTTCAAGATTATAAAACATGCTGTAAAATGGTTCCAGAACATGTAAAAACACATCCCTCCAAAGACGCTCTATTCTCTGATTATGGATGGATTCCCCAGTGATATGACTCCGACGTTCAGTGCCCTGTAGGAGGTTCATCACCAGTGCCACTTGCACATTCTCGCCACCATGATCTGACCTCACTCTAGAAGGTAAGCCATAGAGGCCTGTTGCCTTGAGAAAATGAAATAGCACTGTTGAGGCGCGATTGTCTGTGCTACAGTTCAAGTAAGTAATTAAGCGAGAACATCCATCGATGCCACCATGGACCACAAAACCCCACCTACATGGAAATACAAAAAAATGTATAAGGAATAATGTATGCAAATGTGTATAGTGAATTTAGCTTTAAAAAATTTACTCTGAAATACATCCTTGATATTTTCAGATATTTTCAGATACCTTATGAGACGCATGTTGCCATCAATATGCCATAAACTGTTGGGATACGGCACATGATAGACACGTCGAGTCACTGCGCTGCTCCACCTCCTTGCAGTCGCCATTGGGTTGATTCGAGCCATCATCTCACGGACTTTGCGCCGTGGAACCACCAGTCCTTGTGCATGTAACAAGCCTCGCATCATCTGGTTCAATGAAGGAAATGTGGTCTTACTATATCAAACCACCACACAATTTTACATTTTGAAAGTAATCTTTTACAAAATATACGTTTCAGATTTCACATCTGGTCATAAAATGAATTAAATTTTTAATCATCATTTGTGACACTTAACATTAAATAATTAGTATTCTGCATCACCACTGTTGAACATATTACATATATTTGTTCAGAAGCAAGATATTTAGATTCCATACCTCAGTCCCAGAATTTGGATACAGGGATTGTAGTTGTCTGATATTAGTTTCAAGGTCTTCATCAGTCACTGCAGCCAGCCTTCCCCTTATTGGTACACCAAGTGCTTTGGACTTCTTATAAAGAAATGATGCTGAGCATCCAAAGATGTTTGCCATCCTCTTGACCGTGTGTCCTTGGGCCAGAAGAAAGTCCATCTGCTCTCTTGTAATATGAATAGCCGGTCTCCCTCGACCACCTAAAATAGATTCATATTCAAATGCCTCAGCATAATGTTTACTTTATGCATCTGTTTTCCTCTATCCATCTGTCTGTCTATCTATCCTCTAGGTATCCCTTTGTCTTCTAAGGGCGACACAATGCATTTCACACAATGTACTTATTTTGATACATAATTTCCTGTTGCATGAACAGTAAGCTTTAAACTTTTGTAGACGCTGGAAAGCAAATTAAAGTGTGAATCACACAAAACTGGAGGTACGTTTCTATTTTCAGAGGAGCTAAAGGAGGGCGCTATAATGCCTGCGAGAGCTGACTTGCTTTATTATCGTTTCCGATGAGGCAGACAGCTTTACCAAAGTATGAAAACCACTTTTAGTTATTACCTGAACTGGCCCGAGCTGCGGAATATTCCCCATTTCCAGCTTGGACATGGGTCGATAGTAGCACTTTCAGCTCCTCCAAGCCGTTTTTCAGGGCATTGTGTGTGTCAGCAGAAAGTAAATCAGAAATTCTTTGCAAATTCCTTAAGCATTCCTCAAGTAGGCCTACACGATTTTCGCGGTCTCCGTATATCCCATACTGAAAAGCTCTTTCTATATTGTGGCATTTTCTTACAATTTTGTCCAAAACTGCCAGCGCCATTGAATGTTCAGGCAATTGTTTGGACAGCTCAGTACAGACAAAGAGGGGCTTACACGCAATGTCTTACTTCAGATATCTAAAATTGTAATTCTGACTAGTCATAATTACGTTCGAGATATCATAAATTATAATTACGGATGACTGACCCTTCCAATGACGAATCCGGTGACGTCATTTGAGATATCTTGAAAGGAATTTTGACTAGTCAAAATGTAATTGAAGATATCTTAAATTATTATTCTTACTAGTCAAAATGTAAATACAGATATCTTAAATTACCATTCCGGATAGTCAAAATGTCGTTTTGTCTAGTCAAAATGCATTTGTAGATATCTGGAATGTAATTAACGGATAGTCAGACGAAACCGAATTTAGTGGTTTTCCTCAAACCCACATGTCCCTACTGCAACATGGCCGAGGACGTGCTGTCCAAATACAAGTTCAAGCCGGGACATTTGGTGTGTGTGGACATCAGTGGACGGAGCGACATGGACAGTGTCCAGGACTACTTCCGGGAGATAACCGGAGCCCGGACGGTAAATCCACTCATAAACTGAGCTGTATACCAAAGTTTTATAGAAACCCAATTTACAGCCTTTAATTAAATAAACATCTAATTAATTATTTAAACGAGAAAACTAAATGTTATGTAATATAGTCATGTAATGTGGTCAACAATGATTAATAATTACTTCTTGTTTCTACAAAAATACACACAAATTCGTTTAGATTAAAATTAATGTGTCCAATTTGGCCTCCTAAATGTAAAAGAAATGCACAAATTAAAGCAGAATGAAGTGTAGGATCCAGTAGGGTTGGGCATAATCGTATCGTGTGCAATTAATCGTCAGAAAAACATTAATCGATTATTTTTTGGCACTTGAC